TAAATTTCGAAAGATTATAGAAAATTTGAAAAAATTTCAGATGATTAGATGATGAAAGTTTGAAGTTTATGACATCGTCGAATAAAATTGTGAAAAAAATCATGAATGAAGCGAAGACACTTCGAATTAGCGAAAGAACATCAGAATTGACCCCATAATTTTTCTGGAAAAATAATTGAATACTTTTGTCAAGTTGTAAACGAAAATAAAGAGGGAGGCGAAGACAAAAANTTTTGTCAAGTTGTAAACGGAAATAAAGAGGGAGGCGAAGACAAAAAAATTATGGACTGTGAGAAATTTGATAATTGTTGTTTTGCACTCTGAATATAATTTTGATTACAATAGTAATTAAAATTTCATTCAATGAGGAAGGAAACTCAGAATTAGTGGATCACTTATTATAATATTGAAATTGAACAAGCAATGAACCGAGACGCATTGTTTTCATTAACTTTAACACTCAATAGACTAAAACGACGATAAATCATTAATTTTCGAAAGAAACAAAAAAAGCAAAGGCATAATAAATGGGCATCAACGTCGCGGCCGCGGCGGCGCTAGTGATTAAAAATACGAGGTGATTGACAGGTCTGGTCGTCGCCATGATGCATGGATCCCCCTCCGTGGACCGCAAGGTACTTCTAAGATGGCGGCGCTCACAGCTGTCAGCCACCTCGTACTTTTAAACATTAAAAAAAAAATATTTATCCTTCTCAGACCACCCTCAACTTGTTCCATAACATTTTCGAAGTACTAAGGATTTGGTGCTGATAACTTTTGAACCTCAGAATTCGCCAAATGAAGAGTAATTTGTGGAGCTCAGATTTGCCCGCATTTCAGTAGTTTTTTTTTACTCTCGTGGCCTCTTAAAACCTCTGAAAAAGGGTCATTACTCGTCCTCACAGTACTGGCGTATTTTTTTCGAATAGTAGATGAGAAAACGAAAAAAATCGTTTTTTATTCATTAAAGTCCGTCAAATAGTTCACGAGATATGATTTTTCCAAAATTTGAGCTTTTGATACATGTAGACAAACAATTGATGTTGAAGGAACAAAAATTTACGGAAAGCATGTACTTTTACATAGTACCTGACTGTGAGCATGTTAATTCAGGATTCTGAGAACCGGAAAAATTCAGGGTGGCTGAGTTGACATGGGAATGTCCCATATTTCAGTGAAAAAAAAGACGTTTTCTTGTATAAACCCCGTCAAACGCAAGATAATGCTACGTAGGACGGCTCATTTTGAAGGGTTGTTCATGTTCTTTGAGCGTGTCGAAGAGCAATTTGATAGCTTGGAACCCCGCTGAGATATTGGGGTCAATTGAAAAAAAACAAATCATTGACAAAAACTCGAAATTCTCACAAAACTATAATTTCCTTAAACTAATATTGTTCAATTTTTTTTCAAAATTTTTGTGTAATCGCCGTATTTTCAGAAAAAAAATTGAGAGGAAAATCCCCAGCATCGACTTTTTAGCCTGCTGATTTGGCGTGGATCTACTCACAAGTAACTCATTTACTTTGATGTCTGATGCACCAGGTTACCTACCGTGAGTGTATCGGGCGAGGGAGACATCGGGGTCACGCTAGTGAAGGCCACCGGGAGTCTGTCAAAATAGCTGCGACACTTCTCTTAAATAGTGTAAAAAGTGCGAGGGCGCTCTTGGGCAGACTTCTCCTCAGATACTCATCGAAATCTTTCACGAATTATTCACCTAGATTCTCAACACTCTCGTAGGATATTGCATGTTAATTACTATTGCAAATTATCATAATTGTAATATATGTTACACTTTCATGATTCATCTCTAGATATTCAAGAGTTGATGAGTTAGATCTGTACGTTAAAGAAGCACGAGGATGGAGGAATTTCTACGACTACGAAACGCAAAAAATTTATTGGATGCTCTTAGTGAGCAATTAGTCGCTGAAGGCTCAGATATGTAGAAATTCTGAGTGTCAGCAGAATTATTCTGAAGAGATTTCGGAAATTAGGACGGAGCATTTGTTCTAGAAGCTTTGTAACCGGTGAGTTCAGTGGAAACTATTTAGTACATAAAAACATGAGTTTAATTTTAGAATACATGCAGCAGAATTTTACACACACTGGCATCTTTCACTGCTGTACGTTTTGCTCCAGTGGTAGAAAGAAGGAGGCAACGTGTGCCTGTCAGGGAACAATGCCTGGTAATTAAATTGAATTATTGGCAAAATCGTATAATTTCTAAACACACTCAATGACATAAATGGCGGTGTGTACAACTTTGCACTCCGAACAAAAAAGGTTCCAAAAAGTTTGTTAAAAATATTTTATGAGGCAAGTTTTATTTTGTGGGCAGTGCAACAGTTCATTTGACTCCAAACCCATTACTTACTAAGATGTTTGTAAAGTGACTCAAATTAAATTTTCGGAAGCATTTCATTCCACCGTTTCGCTTCCGAATTCCATCTAGAGCCTAATAATATTCATGGAATTACTTTAATTTTATGTAAAGGAGGATATGAAGGCTGCGGACATGGACATCGAGACCATCCGGGGGCTGCTCACTGGGGGCCTATTCTCGAAATATTTCCGTGCACGCAAGTGGCTTCGTAGATGAATTGCGTATAGGAATTATATAGGCGTTCCGTCAACGGAGTCGATTCCGCGCACGGAAATATTTCGAGAATAGGCCTCCAGGTCGTGTTGTGGGACAACTACTCGCTACAGTGTCTGTCCCCAGGGGCATCCTCCCTCTTATCGATCTAGAAACTTTTAATTCCAGATTTGATAAATAAACAATGACTCAACAATTGTGGATAATCAAAATTTCATGATATATCTTTATGCTGTTTATTCTACAGAATCCCCATGGGATTCAGAATACTGCTTTATCGGACCTAAAAAAAAAATTGAGAAAAAACAAAAAAAAATTGAATAGATAAGTGAGTCAGGGATCTGATGTCTCGCCATTTTGGCAAAGCTTTAGGAGGCGTTTTATGTGGTCATCATCAGAAATGCCGTGATTCATCTTAATTAAGTGAGACTTGAGGGTAGAAAGTTGTTGATCTCTTCTACCAGCGATTTTCATCTTGATCTCCAATGGGTCGATCCATAGAGTATTCCCCAGGACCAATTGCACCTGAAAATTCATGAGTTATCATAAGCATTATAAATTTGTTTACATTTAAGAGAAAGAATTAAGTAACTAACTAATGAATAATCTATAGTTAATGATTTGAGAAGAAAGTGTAAGATTAAAATAAAAAACAGGTTCGTCCCTTTGAAGGCACGATTCGAAAATTAACGACACGTAAAAATCAACTTTTATCGTTCTTTTTTTATACTTGTACCACTTCACTACCGCATTATAAATTATGTCGTCAATTAATTATTCTAGAAAACATTATCAAGATGTTTTGTAGTTAATTTTATTGTTGGAAAGTATAGATTAAATATTTGCACTTTCTGTAAATACCATCTACGTCACAGTTGATACTTCGGTGCCACTCGAGGCACCGACTATTTATATATATAATCGCCGCCAGGAAAGAAGGAACTTGGATCTAAGTGGTGGGGGACGTCAATTTTTTTTATCGTTATTTTACGTCGCTTCGAGCCGGTTAAGCTATACTGCGATGATGATCAAGACATTAAATCGTAAGATCGCACCATTCTACCCGGCTGGGATTTGAACGGAACCTTTCGCATGTGAGGCAACGAACTTACCCACTGCGCCAAGTCACCAGGCTTGGGAATAAATATGTACTTTGACTTTGGGTGCATGTATTTTGAACCCTAAGTGGTGCCTATGACCACTGGATAATTAAATCATGCACCAAGTCAGTCTTAACAATATTTTTAGTAATCCCTCGGGGAATAAACATGTAGTTTGACCTCGGGTAAATGTATTTTGAAACCTACGTGATCCCGATGCCTACTCGATACTTGAATCATGCACCAAGTTATACCTCAGGCCAGTATGTTCAACCTCCTTTAGCATTCATTAGCTACAGGAGCGTTAACTTCAAAGTGCCTTCAACTTTTTGTGCGCTATCCTTGTCTGACTCTCGCACTGTAATGGCCGCAGCATCGCCATCAGCTCTTCAACGTACCACAGTTAAAGGATAGTTGTCAATTGTTAAAGCTACTTCAAAGTTAACGGAGGTTGAACAAACTGGCCCTTAGCTAATATCCTTTATCAAAAAAGACATGAGGGGAAAAAACTCGAATTGAAAAAAAAACGAACTCGAAATATCTCGAACGAGAAAGAGCTTTCGGGGGGTACACTGACAGATAACATTGAAAAAAATGGGCACTGTCAATGGGCACTCTCATGAGTGATTTTTGCGAAAATGAGCGCAAGATTCAAAGCCTATTTCTAGCCTGAAATAAGGAACGAGCAAATAATCCACAGTAATATCTATCAGATGATATTCTCTGCCTATGCACACATTAATTTGGTTATTACAAAAAAAAATATTGTGAAATCTACGTAAATTCACAGAGAAAAGTAACAAAAAAGGCTTGTGAAGTTGCAAAATAAAAATGATGTGGAAGTGTCACGTGACTCTAAACACTGCACTCTGATTCACCGAAATCAAAACTCATCAGTTAATTTGAAAAAATCGAGAAATTTCATATCATAAATCAATTGAGTAAGTGAACAACAGAGATTAGTTTCATTACTACATGAACTATACCTAAAAAAAATTATAACAATGTTGGCATGTACTTTTATCAGAGTATTAACAATTATTGAATTCCAGAAATGAACTCTCTAAATTATGTTCGAGAAGAAATTGGATTGTAATTATGATTAAATTCTTAATTGGTGGACTGAAACCAATACTTATACCACAAAAGCAATGAATATTGAATTTTCTACATGGACATAAAAGAGTCGGAATACTTTTCAGTCAAGATTTTCAATCATCCAATTTTTCAATGGAATTGGCTAAAAAAAACTCAAAAATAAAAGATGGATGATCAGCGATTTTCGAACAAAATTCCACAAATAGTTGTTTTCTTCAACATTCTCTTCTTAGGAAAACTGTTTGAATGAATAATAGAATGGTTCCAACTTTCAAAAATAAATTTTTTTGGCGTGAAATTTATTTTTGGTGAAATTCTGACAGCAGAAAAATTCGCTACAATTCAGGAAAAATTATTCGGCAAGTAAAAAATTGATTATGATTGTATCATGTATAAAAACAAGCTTGTAGTCTTCGAAATTCGCGATTTTTCAATAATTTCATTAGTCTACTTCGAATAATTGACTCTATTTTGTTTATACTGTTGAAAAAAAGAATTGGAATTTCAGGGACAGTTTAGTAATAATTTTTTAAGAGAGACATTCAATTCAGTTGGAGAGGGAAAAGTCATGAAATGTAAAATTTCACTGAAAATTTACTGCAATTCAACATTTTTCAACAGCATGAAGATAAACACTCTCAAGGTACTTGAAATCTGATTCAACATATGAACATTCTGTACCTAATTACTCTGTATTTTCGATTGATGAAGCAATGATAATTGTCCAAATCATTCAAGTCAGAGGAAAATAGAATTATTTAACATTCTTAAGGTACATACTTACTCACTTATATTTGGTGAAAATTTCGCAATGTACAAAAGACATAAAATTTGGATCATATATTATTGAACACATTCAAAAACAATTCCCAAAATTTTAAGTATCTTTTTCACGCCAATTTTTGAGATATGTATCGTCAAAAATTGAAAACACAAAAATTGAATGTTTGGCGATGCGTATCTTAAGAATTGGCGTGGACAAAGTACTTGAAATTTTAGGAGTCGTTTTTAAATGCACTCAACAATATGTGATGCAAATTTTGCGTCTTTAGTGCATTGTGAAATTTACATCAGGTATAAGTGGCTGAGGAAATACCTTTGATGCGTTTACTAAGGTTTTCGCAAAACTAAATTTATTATAAGCAATAGCTAAAATTATGAGATTATCTGACACGTTTTACGTTAAGTATAGGAGAATCTGAATGCAATATAGTGAAAATGATAATCAATTGGTACACTCTGAAAAAATAATAATAATCCCCAAATTGAAAAATTCTATTATGAACAAAAAGCTGTGACTAAATATNTTTTTTTGGCGTGAAATTTATTTTTGGTGAAATTCTGACAGCAGAAAAATTCGCTACAATTCAGGAAAAATTATTCGGCAAGTAAAAAATTGATTATGATTGTATCATGTATAAAAACAAGCTTGTAGTCTTCGAAATTCGCGATTTTTCAATAATTTCATTAGTCTACTTCGAATAATTGACTCTATTTTGTTTATACTGTTGAAAAAAAGAATTGGAATTTCAGGGACAGTTTAGTAATAATTTTTTAAGAGAGACATTCAATTCAGTTGGAGAGGGAAAAGTCATGAAATGTAAAATTTCACTGAAAATTTACTGCAATTCAACATTTTTCAACAGCATGAAGATAAACACTCTCAAGGTACTTGAAATCTGATTCAACATATGAACATTCTGTACCTAATTACTCTGTATTTTCGATTGATGAAGCAATGATAATTGTCCAAATCATTCAAGTCAGAGGAAAATAGAATTATTTAACATTCTTAAGGTACATACTTACTCACTTATATTTGGTGAAAATTTCGCAATGTACAAAAGACATAAAATTTGGATCATATATTATTGAACACATTCAAAAACAATTCCCAAAATTTTAAGTATCTTTTTCACGCCAATTTTTGAGATATGTATCGTCAAAAATTGAAAACACAAAAATTGAATGTTTGGCGATGCGTATCTTAAGAATTGGCGTGGACAAAGTACTTGAAATTTTAGGAGTCGTTTTTAAATGCACTCAACAATATGTGATGCAAATTTTGCGTCTTTAGTGCATTGTGAAATTTACATCAGGTATAAGTGGCTGAGGAAATACCTTTGATGCGTTTACTAAGGTTTTCGCAAAACTAAATTTATTATAAGCAATAGCTAAAATTATGAGATTATCTGACACGTTTTACGTTAAGTATAGGAGAATCTGAATGCAATATAGTGAAAATGATAATCAATTGGTACACTCTGAAAAAATAATAATAATCCCCAAATTGAAAAATTCTATTATGAACAAAAAGCTGTGACTAAATATTCCATAATAGCAGAGAACGAGAATGATGATATTTATGTCATATCATCTGAATCATTAACATTCAAGTCATTTCAAGTTTTAATTTTTAATTGAGTGCTGGAAACATGAGGTGGCGATATTCAATGCACGCACTTTTACCAGAGTATCAAAAAACACTGAATTCCAGTAATTTACTCTTTAAATTATGTTCGAGAAGAAGTTGGATTGTAATTATGATACAAATCTCACTCAGTGAGCATAAGAATTAGCATATGCGCAACTAATTCATTGCATTATAAAAAAGCAACAGCTTTTTTCTAATATGTTCCAATTATAAGAAATGAACAGCTTTTTTGTAATTGGAACATATTATTTTCGTTAGTCGCATTGCTTTTCAGTATGAGAATGATAATGAATAATTATTAATTGAAAAAAAAAATTTCGAATATGACAGAAAAAGGGCATAATAACAGGAAAGGGCTATCACACCACGGCCGCAATTGCGTTACGAATATGAAAAGGGAGGCCTTCAGTTCGACTGAGATAATAATGCAAAGCCGAAACTATTAAAATCAATTGGAATATGACAACTGAGAGGAAAAGGCGGAAATTTTCTAAATAGAACTGATATGAAGGAGTCACGTGACCCCAACTACTGCACTCTGATTGATTCAAATGGGAAAGAAAATTCGGATTTTATCAATAATTTCACAAAAATTTTCGAGTTTTAAAAAAAAAATTTACAAGAATTTCGGGATTTCGTGGAAAATTTGAAAACATTTCAGATGATTCATCAAAGTTTCAAGTTCATGGCATCGTCGAATAAAATTGTGACCGATTTAGTATTGTGTTCTACGAATTAGCGAAAGAGCATCAGAATCAGGCATATATATTTGAAAAAAAAAAATTTCTCGTATACCCTTTCCGGTTTTTACGATTTATTCCCTTCCCTCCCCCAACCCCCTGTACCGCATTCGCCGAAGGACAAGGGAAAACCTCAGTTAAGGGGGAAACCTGCCCCGGTCCAGTCGTCTCTTGCAAGATTCCCGCTCGACAATGAACCGTGAGATTTAGAGTGTGACAACCACACAACCACCGCCGTCGGTATCAATCATATAATTTTTCCAGAAAAATAATGAAATGCTTTTGCAGAGGTGTAAAAAAAAATAAAAGGGGTGACGAACACTAAAAAATTCTTGACTGTGAGAACTTTAATAATTATTATTTTGCACTCTGAGTAGAATTTTGATGATAATTATAAATAGAACATCATTCAGTGAGCACAGAAATTCAGAATTGGTGAATCACTTATTGAAATATTGACATTGAACAGGTGCTGAACCGATAAGTATTGTGTCTATTAATCTCAACACTCAGTTTAATATGTCGATGATAAATCATTAATTTTAAGAAAGAAACAAGGAAAAAAATGAGAGGGATAATTATCCGAGGAATTAATATGTACTGCTACCTCTGGTGCATATACTTTTTTTATCGTTTCAAAGTAGAAATAATCACAACAGGACAATGATAATAAAAGTGATTTTTTTTATTCACTATTTCTTATACGGAAAGTATTGAAATAATTCATTTTTGCAGTCGTGGAACTGAGAAAGACAAACAAGTTACGTCAATTAAAATATGGGTACGAATAAGCCCCCCTCCCCCCCAATTTCCTAGAGTCCGAGGAAACCGATATACCACTACCTTCACCTGCCATGTTTAATGTCCTGGGAAATTCGAAGAAAATTCCGAAAAAGCCAACTTGTTTTCGTGCAGAAAATTAGCGTACTCAAAAATCGATTTTTCGGCCAAAATATTTAAGCCGAAACTTTTTTTTGTAGAAAAAAAGCACATAAAAAGCCCGTATTTTTGAGTTAATCGCCGACTTGATCTGATGATCCTGATCTGCTAATTTCAGGGAGCACATTATGTGCTGTAGTGAGCGTTCCGTTTAGGGGATTGATAAGAATCAGTCAACAATTAATATGAAGTTCAATCAAAATCCAATTGAATTTTCTGACGAATTCACTAGATTGTCTCTATTAAAATTTGTTTGCACGTACAAACATGAAACGAGCGCTTTTAACCCGTAAAATATACTCAGGTTGTCGAAGATTTCCTAATTTACATTTACAATTACAGGAATAATGACACTGAATTTGTCGAAAATCTAATGACTGCGCCAGCTTTCAAATGTTGGCATATAAATTAACCCTAATCTGTAACCAGAAAGTCAGCAGTTGTAAACGAAAAGTGAATCCTGTAAACAAAAAGTCACTTTTCGTTTACTATTGTAAAAATTACGAAAAGTGCCACTTTATGCACAAAAATCTGTAAACGAAAAGATTTCTAAGGATGTGTTCCAAAAATAAATTTTTATAAAATTATTTACTCTAGCTTGGAAAAATTTGATTGGTGATCGATTATCCTCTATCCACTTCTGTACACAGCTCATAGCACACCAACTCCACTCGTCTTCATTATCGTAAGGCATGACATTGCTCAAAAATATCTCGATGATGTACGTAGGTGTCACTCTTAACTCCTCCGACAATTCCAACAGAGCGCCAACTCTAACATCACGGTATTCAAAACCTGTGTCGATACACTTGAGGTCTACATATCTCGGTCTATCATCCACGTCCCTCTTCACAATATTAACAATGGACACTCTCTCGAAATGCCCCTCATCACGTTTAAACCCATAAATTCCCCCGACACAAATATTCTTATCCATTACTCTGTTAGTCGAAACTGCGAAATATTGGTTTAATCTAGTAACAATGTTCACATGTTCATCATCGCTCATTTTGTAGGCATGTCCGTTAAAATCAATTCTCTCGAGAATTCTTCCCGAAAAATGTGTAGCTGTGTGAATATACGTTAGCACCAATTTCACAATATCCCCTTCTTCCACCGAAATGCTCGGTTGATCAATATCGGGCAGCACCCAGTGTCTATACGGACAATTAAATTTGCTGGAACAATAACCAAAAGCCTTCACCTTATCACAAATTGAAAAAGCCTCCTTCTTCCTATCTAGAGTCATCATAATTTTATCAGCCGCTTCCAGCTGATTCTTTGCCAACTTCATTCCCGATCTCTCCATTAAATCTAAAACCCCTCGAAGCTGCAGATCATTAGTTTCATCCAACATTATCGTCACTTCCATTGCGTTTTGTTTATGCTTCAAATTAGAAATTAATGTCGAAAATCTGAAATTAAACATGGATTTCGTTGGCGTCGCGATGGTGTAATGAATCAGCCATTCAGCATCAGAGATACGTAAATCATAGAGAACACTGTCAGTGCAAATTAAAACTGGATACAATCCTGAGATAGCTACGCTCCAGTGATCCTTGACCGAATGAATCTCATTGATTAGAGATTTACCATCAGCATATAAAATTCTGCAGTGCTTTGTAAGTCGTTTCTTCAACTTTGAGGCTTCCCTCCTACTGCGACAAACTACGAGTGTCTTCACAGCTCGATAACGATCTCCCAAGAGCTCCAGCAGTCGCTCAGGTTTGTCGGCAGTTCGAATTTGTCGTAACTTTGGTTGAACACCACAGGATATTACTGCGTCAGGATGAGAGCCAATGCAGATGTAAGGATCACTGAACATTTCTGTAAACATCCCAAGAGTCGTTGACCATTGTTCAGCAACAGCGATCAGTTGAACAGTGAATCCTCTCAAATTTTCACACTTTGGTTTAACAATAGAGGTTTCCTTCAGGACGTTTACCAACTCTGCCTTCTGTTTCTGTAGAATAACATCTAGCTGATCAAATACTACGTGACGAATGTAGTCAAGGTTCAGAACCTTGCGATACTTCACTTTTAATAAGTATCTCTTCAGAAATGCTGGCGTCGATATGAATATATGACACCCATTGTATATTTTAGCTGTCAGAGACCTGTAGTCAATACTATTGTACCCAGAGACAATTGAAATCTCTGCATTATGACCCAGGACCGTAGCGAACATATCGTGAGCATTTTGAACAGCATTCGTGGAGCCGCAGAGAACCAAAACCAATGGGTAATTATCCTCCTGTTGATCTTTCATAGCTAGAACTAAATTAGATATTGGTGCAACGTAGCCAATGGTTTTTCCTGTTCCTTTAGCACTTACGGTAAGAACATCGCAACACTTAGAGATTGCTGGCCACATGTAAGATGGCATTTTCCAGAGCCTTCCGATCTCCATTTCCTCTAAAGCTGTATGAATCGTTGTAGAAAAATTAGCGTCTCTTATTGATATTAGTTGTTGACATTTCCTGCTGTTGCTAATAAATACTTCTTGATAGGGTTCGTTGTCAGGTTTAGAAAAAGGAGAATTAACTTTATCGATGCTATTCTCGTCAGTGTGGATAGATTTTTTTGATATCAGGTTAGGAACGTCATCTGGCTCGAATATCAGTGGCTCCAAAATCACATTCTTTTCATCATCTTCATCCCTGGGTTTACGGAATTCTAACTCTCGTATTGCTACATAATCCTCATCCCTCAGATAAACACCGAAATTTGAGTGAACAAGCGTGTGCCGCAAAGGTATTACTTCCTGATCAATTATCGTATATATTTCTCCACATTTCTTACCACCAGAGTCGGCAATGTGGTCGAAATAAATCTTCGAAGCTCCAGCTACCAAACACTTCGTGACCTTGATAGCCTCTGGACTCCACTTTTTTTGAATCACCATCTCATATTTCTTTTTGTTGTTCTCTACAGCATAACAGTTGAAGACTCCAGGTACAATGTGATAGAGACCGATGGTGTAAGTGAGGTATTCCTCGGACATTGAATTCACTGGGATGGTAATAAACTCATTTCGGGAGAGGGAAACTTTAACTCCATGATCTGGTAATAATATTTCATATTTCGAAGTTACTTCGGTGTAACCTTCGACTATACCACGACACCACCAGGCTGGGAGCTCTGCCTTTGTTCCCACTTGTCCTTGAACCAAAGTCAATGCTCCATTTTTTGGATGATCTAGCACATTCTGCGAATATTCTTTAGCTAATACGGTTAGTTTATGGGATATTTTGTTTAGTTTTTGGTTTCTGTTATTTACACTACCCACTATTATATGGTAGGGATTCAAGACACTGAATACGAAGATTTCTTCTGCTGTTGATGGCAATTCACAGGGTTCTTCTGTGGAAATAGAATAGTCAATTAATAAATGGATTGATCAAGAATTGATTCAATAGCGAATACGTAAAACCGTTCAAGTCGATTTTTTTTCGAAAGTGAACTTTCAGGTGATCAACTCCCAAGATAACCACAACTATTGTGACCCACCTAAAAGTTCCCTATTTACGACTTCAACCGTTTATCCTATTCGCTACTGAATTCAGGTCCGATCGGGATTAGTAGTGGAAGTTATTGATTGACTTGTCGTCCTACGTGGAAAATTTTCAGTGTCCCCCATGGTTCTGACGTTGCGACTGCTTCAAACACCCCACATAAAGAGAAAACTATATCACTGCAGTTAACCGATGTCGGTGGCCTGGTAGCTGCTGGTAGCCCAGTGGGCTAGACACAAGTGGGGGAGGTTCGTTTATACCAGAGAGATTCGCGATCACAAAACCGCCGTCAGCGCTATGGCCAAAAATGCGCGACCGTGGAGAACTACTAACTTGCGGAGCTGCTCAGAACCCTACACTCTAAAAAAAGATTACTTCTGATAAGTAGGAAAACTACTTGTATTCAGTACCGAGGCGTTTCTGGAGAAAAGCTAATTTTTTTACTTGGTCCAAGTCGAAAATCGACTGAATACAAGTTTTATGCTCCAAGTACAATTAGCACTGGTGACAAGTACCAACTGTACTCATCATCAGTACTGAAAGTACTTGTACTGAGTACC